AAACTGCAAAAATTGAAATTTAACCTTTAGGGCCTGGATATAAATTTCAGAACTATTGATATATACATATTTGAGAACTTGAAATGTAACCCATGTAAAACTTTATAAATGATATTTCTAAATCTTATATTTGTATTGTATATATTTATATTTGTACTCGGTATAAATATAAATATAAGGTTTTACACTGCACATATTTGTATTTATACTCCTTCCAAGCTGAGCCTTAATTATTTCCAAGCTGAACCTTAATTTTGAAGAAAATGGGGCAAAAAGCTGGGGCTGTGTTTGAAGTGCATATTTTAAAAATTCTAACTACAGTCACAGAACAAGGTACCAAGCACCTGATTGGTAAAGTCTCCTGCTGGTTACAGAATAGAGTTGGGATTGAATCCTGTCTAACCTGGGTTGGGGGAATTTATGGGTTTGGAGGATGGGCTACTCATTGTGTCCATAAAAAGTACAGTTAAGGACCTTTTGTCATATAATTCTTTCCATTAATCTTAATTGTTAAATTCTCTGAGAACATACACATAAATAATTTTGGAAACAAAGTTATATTTAAGTAATTTAGTAAAATGATAAGGTATATTTAAATAATTAATCCTCTCTTTTAGAATTTGATCCAAGTCAGCAAATGTCCGTGTTATTCACACTTAATCACAAGACATGGCCATATATCAGTCTCCCTATTAATAACAGCAATATCACAAGACATGGCCATATATCAGTCTCCCTATTAATAACAGCAATAACAAACAAGTATAGGAAATGTTCCAGATGTGTGGTTGTAGTGTCCAATGGGTGGACGCACATGGATAGGAGATCCGAACACCTTTAATTACTACAAGTCTACAACCAGTAAGGTGAAGGTTTATTTCAACCCAACTTAACCCTGCGCGATTGGCATCCCTACCATGAAGCCATGCATCCTACCTTAATGCATCACTAGCGGAGGGGGCCCTGCGTTGTAGGGGCTCACTCCTAATCTATCAAGTTCGAGCTCAACTACCTTTGATTGCAAGTCTTTCAAGTAGCCAAGGTGCCGAGCCAAGGTTCCAAGCTGAGGTCTCCCTCAATTGCCAATATGCCAAACCGAGGTTTTCCTCAATTGCTGAAGTGTCGAGCTGAGGTTTTTCTAGCAGGCGAGGTGTTGAGCTAAGGTCTCCCTTAGTTGACAAGGTGCCGAGCTGAGGTCTCCCTCAGTTGTTGAGGTGCTGAGCTGAGATCTCCCTCGATGACTGAGGTGTCGAGTTGAGGTCTCCCTCATTAGTCAAGGTGTTGTCTAGCTCGAGCTCGATTCGAATTAGAGACTTGAGCTTGAGTTCAAAAGTTCGATCTCGGCTCGGCTCGGCTCGAACTCGACTACCTTTGATTGCAGGTCCCCTAGCAGACGAGATGCCGAGCTGGGGTCTCCCTTAGTTGGAGAGAGAGTGGCATTCTTGTAATTCATAAGGAGAGAGAGATGGTAGGAGAGGGGGAGATGGCATTCTTGTAATTTGTAAGAAAAAGAGAGAGAGTTGGTAGGAGAGAGAGTGGGATTCTTTTAATTTGAAAGAAAAAAAGCAAGAGAGAGAGAAAGAGAGAATTGGTAGGAGAGAGTGACATTCTTGTAATTTGAAAGGAGAAAAAAATCAAAAGAGAGAGATTTGGTAGAGAGTGGCATTCTTGTAATTTCTATGAAAAAAAGGTAAAAAATACTGTTAGATTCAATTTCCCTCATCCTCAAGCCTTCTTATGTACACATTTCAGCTTAATATATTTATATAGATTATTTTTCTTACAGGAAGCTAATTGCGAAAATCTCTCCTACAGTGACGGTTCTAAAAACAAGGCCTGCACCAGTCGTAGCTTCGTTTTCTTCGAAGGGACCAAATCAAATATCACCTGGCATAATTAAAGTAAGTTTATTTGCTATGAAATTAATGACRCATTTTTTTTGCATTAATTCTGTAATTTTATAGTTTTACACCTCATACTTGTTTTCAAAGTTACTTGTCACTTGTTAGTTGTCAATAGGGATGTCACTACATCAGGTTAATCAGTAAACCCACATTAATCGAGTGTAATTGGGTTAGGGATAGGGTCATAGTTTTGAGTCGGATTCTGGTCGAGGATGGTCTGTGCCAAACATGATCCATTGACATAGCATTGAGATAATAGATGTCCAAGCTTAAGTATTATCAACTAAGGGGTGTTCTATAATGTGGATGAGAAATTAGGTGGTGTAGGCTGATCTACACCACACCACTGTGGTAAGGACCAATTAATACCACATTACAGTCCACAACTATTCTGAACTATGGATATACCATGTGCATTGGTCTAGTCCACACCCATAGTGGCGTTCTATAGGTGTGGTGTGGTCCATACCACACTTTTTGATTCTATGTATTTCATATACAATTTATGAAGTGATATATACAGATGATCACAAATGTATAATTTTTACAATTGAATATTAACCAATAGATATTAATTTTAACAAAAAGTGGCAATAAAATAATTTAAAAAATAAAATAAAATAATTATTTAAAAATAAAATGATTTTAAAAAATGGAGCTTGTGACGGTTGGAGGAGAGCTTACAAAGGATAACCCATGCTTACAATGCCCGACCATGGGGAAAGAGGAGCAGTGGAGGACTTTTAATGGTAAAAAGGAAAGAAAAATATATAGGGTAGAGAAGTATTGAATAAAAAATGGAGTATGAACTGACCATAGACACGAGAAATTGTCATTGTCGAGATTTTGGGGTGTGGATAGGCCGGTCCACGATATAGTATGGACGCATTGTTTTAAAAACCAGATCGGATTGAACGGTTGAACCATTTGACTCAGGAACCAATCATATATCCGGGTCCATTTTTAGATCGGATCTCTTTTTGCAAAAACAAAAAAACATTGAATTGGTTAGAAAACCGTTAACCTAGACGATACACGATCTCAGATCTAAGAAGTGAGATTTTGAAGAGAGAACAAGAGAGAGAGAGAGAGAGAGAGAGAGAGAGAGAGTGGTGAGAATTCAGATTGGAGATCTGAGATCTGAGCAAGAGAGAAACGAGATCTCAGATCTCAGATTTGAGAATAAAGTCGCTGTCGTTGTCACTGCCATGATCATTGTTTCTGTTGCTGTCACCGTCACCACCGCTATTGTCGTCGTCGTCACAAGTGAATGTCTTCTTCTTCTTCATCTTTGCTTCCCTCCTCTCCTTCCTTTCCTTTTTTTTTTTTTGCTTTCGTTCCTTTCTTTCTTTCTTTCCTTTCTTTCTTCTTTTCTTAGCTGAAAACCACCTTAACTCCTCTCTCTTTTCTCACAAAAGAATGAAACCCTAATATTTCTAATCTGAAGGCAAACCACTTGAACCATTCAACTTGGATGGTCAAACCATTAACCCAAAAACCGATGATTAAAGCGATTCTCTTTCCAAATTGATTTTTAAAACCTTATATGAACCAGTCCCATCTACGACCAACCGAATAGTATATTCACCCCGTGGTGTGGACTGAAACGGTTCATCCATAAGATGAACACACTTTCGAACACCACCTAAAATAGTAGTTTAATTGTTATGTTAAGTGGGTCAACAGACATGCGGATTCGAGTGCCACTACCTACCAGCACAGAATTAAAAAAAAAATAAATAAAAAAGAATTACGGCCCCTATGGAAGACTCATGTGTATCACTAATACCAAAAAAAAGTGTAAGCATTTAACCTTATTTATATATGTAATGTAATAGAACCATATTTCAAAAACTTTAAATTAAAATGTGAGTAATATATAATATGTAATGTAGTATAGATATTGTATATAATCTACCTTATATAATTTATATTAAACTTCTGGTTAGGCCAAGTTGCTCAAGCCTAGAATTTTAGGGCTGAGGTCCATATGCATTCTGTGTGGGCTCGGGCCGTCGGGCGGGCTGGGCTTGGGAAGAAAAACAAGGTTATTTGTGTTGGGTTAGGGTTACAGGGTTGAATATTGTTGGATTGGAATGGACTCTAGCGTCAGGTTGGGCTCTGCCTCTCTGGTTCATCTCAACCGGATCCAACTAAGCCCAAGTTACACCCCTAGGCCTATTTTATATATTATCTGCTTTAAACGAAACAAATGCAAATTCATGGAAAATAGGTCAAAAAGATTTTTTTTTTGTGTGTGTGTTTTTAATACTTATATAGTGGCTATTTTTTGAAGGCGTTATGTAGTGGCTATTTTGCCTCCCTGCATTGGGAGACAAATATCCACTTTCAGAAATAAAGAGTTTATCCTGACAAATTACATCCGCGAAAAAGTATGAGAACAACCAAATGGAGGGGTGGTATGTTAGTTGGTTCACTCCAATATAGAACAATCAATTCCTGCAGCCATCGACTTTGGGGGAGGGGTTATTAGTGGTGTGTGTCACCAAATAGAAGTGTCAATTGGACTGGACTCCTGGCAGCTCTGTCTGCATGGGTTTTGTTGGCCAAGGAAAAGGTGGTAGGTCCGATACTGTAAATCAGTTTGATTGAAGTCCACCACTGTGTTAAATAAAAGCCCGTCGGATTTCAGCCATAGACAAATCTGTGTCTGTATGAATCTAGAACAAGGATCAGTCCCATTAGCGTACTCGATGTTGTTTGGTTGGCAGTGAGGGAGGTGTAACCACATGGAGAAGTAGATGGCCATCCCATAAGCACCGCCAGCATTGAAGATGGAATGAAACCCAGGTCATCATCGACGTTGGTCGACCATCCAAACAACTTGTTGACGATAATGCAAAGAGGAGGACGGTCATTTTATTGATGGGTGATGTCGGAGAGGAGGCATTTGAAAGACGGTGTGAGGGAGAAACTAGCTTTGAAGAGGTGAATGATGAAATGCCCAGATCCTTAGCCTTGAAGGTTTCGATGGACTTTCAGAAGATTTGCAAAGGAACGGAGTTCCTCCCCATTTGGATCCACTAATTATATCTCAAACAATAAAAATGTGGACCAGTCCAATTTAGATGTGAACTGGACGGGTCCAATCCAAATGTGGTCCATTGACACCCCTATCGCCAAATACCCAAAAAAGAAGTATGAAGTATTTGCAGAGAAGAGAACAATACCACATTGGTGTTTGAATTGGAAAAATGTTGACTGTTAGTTATCTAAACCCTACAATGTCATTTTATTATTTTATAATTTTAATTCAATTTGTTAGATCTCTTAGAATCACAGTATCTGCAATATTTTAATTTGTAATGTTGCAGCCCGATATTGCAGCACCAGGGGTCAATATATTGGCAGCGTGGTCTCCAGTAGCAACTGCTCTAACGGCTGGACGACCTGTTGACTACAATATAATCTCAGGCACCTCCATGGCCTGCCCACATGCCTCAGCTATTGCTGCTATTATCAAATCTGTCCACCCTTCATGGAGTCCAGCAGTCATACAATCCGCAATCATGACAACAGGTAATCAACCCCTTTTCTTATATATCAAAAGATTTTAAATCCCAAATAAGATTAATTCATTTAAGCCTCATACTACATTGGCAGCATAATTTTGAGAATATCTCAATTCTTCTTTTAGGGTTTATGATAAATGATTTGGAGTAAAATATGCAAATTTTCAGAAGATGGTTACAATCCTTAAAATTTAAAATTTCATGTGTTAGTGGATTAAAAGATACATAGGTATAGATAGTTATTTGAATTCTAAAAAACCAAGGAGAGGGAGAGGGAGAGGGAGTGGAACTCAATTCCAAATGTACTCTTGCAATCCAAAGATAACCTAGAAATACAAGTGACTATTTGCATTAATCCGGCTAGGGTGTGAGCTTATCTTCCCCCCGGATAAAGGGAGTTGTATTAGGTCGGCACTTCTGACATCGATCAAAACTTTTGCCCAACTCTTTTTGAATATGGATCCTAAGTTATCTTTTGCATGCGCATATTAAACTCTTCCTTACAACTAACATATGTACTATTCTCCAATTCGAGTGCAAAATTGAGCAAGAGTATGCCATAACATTACTCAGTTGTATGTATACCTACCAAAAAAAAATTGCTTAGTGGTTGTGAGAAACATGTAAGAGTTCATCATTTTGGATGAGTATGGGTAAAGAGGCCAATAGAAAAATATGAATTTGATTTGCTATCTTAAATATAGAATAGGAAATGGTATAGAATTAATTTACACAATGAAAGGAAGGATTGATATTATATGTTTACAAAGAAACTAAATGAAAAGATAAATGCTATAAAATATCTTTATACTATGGTGCATTGGAAAAGTAAATAATAGAAACAGAGTAGGCAATAATAGTATACAAAGATTTAAAAATTGAATTTTTAAATGTTAAAAAGTCAGGAATGGAACACTTTTATTTAAACAAATTTTAGTTAAGAAAATTACTAATATAATTAGTGTTTATGTACCTCAAGTGGGTTTAGAAGAAAGCATTAAAAGACAATATTAGGAAACATAGATGAATTAATTAAAGGAATTCTAATTGAAAAGTGGATTTTTATAGAAAGAGATCTAAATGGGTATGTGGAGAAAAGAAGAGCAAAAAATGATATGATATATATAAAAGGCTTAGGTTTGGGTAGAGGAATGATATGATATATACAATTACCTCAAAAATAAGATATTTTAAAATATATAGGACTATAAAGCAAGGTATAACTCAATGTGAGAGATTGAAGAGGACATAGTCTATAGTAGGGGTGGCAACGAGCCAAGCTTTTCACGAGTTGTTCAAGCTCGGTTCAGTTCGGTTTCAATCGAACTTGAGCCACTAGAGCTCGGCTCGTGAGGCTTGCGAGCCAGCTCGAATATATATATATATATATATATATAATAAAACTATAGAAAATAATATATATATATATATATATATAATAAAAATATTATAATTATTAATTATTATAATTCTTATTTTTTAAATATCAAATAAAAATATTTTTATATATAAATTTTATTTTTATAAAATATTTTTTCTCAAAATCGAGCTTGAGCCGAACCGATCTCGAGCTTATGAATTTTTGACTCGAACCAAGCTCAAGTTCAAGGTTCTGACTCGAACCGTGCTTGAACTTGAGCTCGAGCCTTGTAGAACAATCTCGAGCCGAACTTGAGCCTTGTACTATTCGGCTCGGATCGACTCGAATCCACCCCTAGCCTATAGAATTAGAGAAGGATAGAGAACATCGGAGAATGTGTTAGAGAATTACATTTGTGAGACAAGAATACCATCTAAACCAGAAGAAAAAATTGATAAAATGGTTGTAAGGCCAACAATGTTGTATAAGTAGAGTGATATTTGAGTAGTAGAAATATGAATGTTGAGATGGATGAGGAATAGAAATATGAATGTTAATGGTAGGTCTCAAAAGTTAAAACCTACCCTCCCTCCCTCTCTCTCTCTCTGCCCCTGCTTCCGCTCTCCCTCTCTCTCTCTCTCTCTTGTTTCTTCTTCTCTCTTCCTCAAAATCGGCAACCCAACTCTCTAACTGGCACCACCGCTGCAACCTCCGATGCCCCTGTTCTTGGTACAGTAAGAGAGCATCAACAAAGTAGTTGTAGCAAGTTCAGTCAGCCGAGCTGGTTCTCTTTTGTGAGGAGATCCGATATTCTCTTTTTCATTTGTTTTTCCTCATTCTTGGACCCCTATTTCTTATTGACCTTACAGCAAGGAACTTATTCCCCAGGTTTGCAGTTTTGGGAGCGGACAAGGAATGCCTCCGGTGCATTGGGATGATATGATCACCATCTTATTGAGTTCAAACCTAGCCCTCCTACCAAATCGAGAACAAATTAGATTACACGTGTCTCAAATTTCTAAACCTAACTCTTGTTAGAACTGATCTGACAAAAGCCTAGATGATCAAATTTTGAATATAACTCTTCTTCATTTGGGAGGCCTGCCTAAAGAAACTAAATACCTATGATATGTTACAAAAGAAACTCAAGAGGCAGATGCATCTCCCCACATGTCTGCCCCCTCTGCCTCAACAATGGCGAGACAGCGGAGCACCTTTTCCTTCACTTACCATTAACAAGGAAAATCTGGTGTTCCTTTCTCAGTCAGGTGGGACTCAACTGGGTATTCCCAAACCAAGTCATAGATCTTCTGTGACAATGGCACTGCAAAGGCCTTGGAAGTAGGGGCAAAATTTATTGGAGCACGGTGACCCACACAGTGTTATGGGGAGTTTGGAAAGAAAGAAACAACAGAACCTTTGAAAACAAAGCCAGGAATATTGAGGATCTAATCTCTCACATTACATACCTTTGCAACAGCTGGGCCCTAAACTCTGAAGTCTTCAAAGACACCACATTAAATGACCTTCAGAGAAACCTGGTAGAAGTCCTCTACACTTCCCCTGGAATCGGCTTTACTCAAACATCCTGCCCCAGGGAGGAGAACTAGTTAAATCTAAGCTTTAATGGCAGTGCTCAACGGTCCACAGTTCAAGCAGGAGTAATCTGTGGGAGTGGGGGAAGCATCCTTTGGGCTTTCAGTGGTCCGATTGGGAGAGCTGATGCCACCAAGGCAGAGATCTTAGCTGCCCTCACAGGTCTTCGTTTCGCCAAAATGTTAGGCCTTTTCTCTTCATTAATTCAGGGTGATTCAGCTAACACAATAAACTGGTCAAGGCAGAGGACTGGAGGCCCTTGGAGGCTTGCTCATCTGCTGGATGAAGCTAGAGATATTCTAAATAACCTGAATGCAAAGCTAGTTTGGATTCATAAGGAATTAAACACCATAGCTGATTTTCTGTGAGGTGGAAGAGGCAAAGCTTCAAGATAATAGTTTCATTTTCGGTGAGGCTGGCTTTTCTCATAGATTTCTTCGCGTACTGATTTTTTTTTTTTTTTGAGAGGCTCAACCTTTGAGTTGTATGGTTGAAAGGGGTTGTGTATCTAGTGGGGGCCTATTGTCTATTGACTGGTGTTTTTGATGTGGGTTTACTTGCAAAGTCTTTGTTTAGCGGTTTCGCTTTCTCTTCTGAGCTGGGTTTATTCCTGCTGGGCGCAGGTTGTAAATTCTCCCTGTTCTCTCATCTTTCTATTTTCTAGTAAATTTTTATTTTACCTCCAAAAGAAAAGTTTTACACATTTGAAACTTGTTAGGTTGTTAATTCAGATAGTTCTGACTAATTAATATAATTATATCAAACAAACAATTTCTACATATTTTCTTTTAATATTTATTTTATTATAGCTGCGTATTAGTATTCTTTAAATATTTACAATGTTTGTTTCCTTTTGCAGAATTTAATTATTACCCTAGGCCGTTAAAGACAATTACTTGATCATTTTTAACAAGTTTTTTTTGTTTGATACATACAGCTACAGTACTTGACAATACTCAAAAACCCATACTAAGCAACCAAGAGAAATCTGTGTCGACGCCTTTTGACTATGGATCTGGACACATAAATCCAATTGCAGCACTTGATCCCGGGCTAGTTTATGATTTTGATTCCAATGATGCTTACGACTTTATATGTAGTAACAATGCCACACTGGGAGAGAGGTTGGGGTTGATAGGGAAGGTTGTTCCTTGTAAAAACCCACCAGTCCCAATCTACAATCTCAATTATCCATCAATTGCTGTAACGAACATGACGGGAATAAGCCTCTCTGTTAATCGAACAGTTACTTACTACGGTGAAGGCCCAACTGTTTATGTTGCATCTGTAAAGCAGCCAATGGGCGTGAACGTTATGGTCCGTCCTTGTAAGCTCAGATTCAGCAAAGTTGGTGAGAAGAAGTCTTTCATGGTAGAATTCAAGCCCTACAAGGATACTAATGGCAGCTTTGTGTTTGGGGAGTTGATATGGAGCAACTTAAACGGACTCCATAGGGTTAGGAGTCCCATTGCACTTCATGTACTCTTAATCTAGCTACTTACATAATATTCTAAGCTATACGTACTACTCAGCTCTTTCTCCAAACTCTTATTATGTAACCAACAAACCACTAATCGTTTAATAATAATAATAATAAATCTCTTATAGGTGGTGCGTGTACCATGCATTCTGTTTAAGTAATAGCAATAAGAGTTATGCTTTTCTAATTTGGAAAGAGTCGCAAATTAATGACGATGAGAGGAGGGAGGGGTTCAAGGTACTGAGCCATGGGTGTGGAGTGTGGACCAGGCTTTTCAGAGCTTTGGCTAGGTTTAGGGATAAGTCCTTGTGCTTTTAGTTTGGGTTGAGCTTTGGCCAAGAACTGGTATAGGCGTATAACCCAAGGTCCCAATTATCCCTCAATTTGTGCGGCAATATTCATGAATAGAAGTTTCTGAGTTATCGAACAGTCACTTGCTGCAATGAAGGACCAACAGTTTATGTTGCATCTGTGAAACGAGTCCGGATAATCTGTCTACGAGAATTCGCCATGAGGCATGAATTTTGTGATCCGTTCTAGTAAGCTTGAATTTAGTAAAGGTGGCGACAACAAGTCTTTCTGAAAGATTTCAAACCCTACAAAGATATTAGTGGCAGCTTTGTTGGAAGCAGCAATATCAAAGGAATTCTGGTGTTTCCAGGATGGGCCTGGCCAATCCACTTGATTACTCTGTCACTTTGACGATTGCAATTGAATGAATCTTTCCATGTGTTCAGGAAAGGATCAAAGGAATTCTGGTGACTGTCTTTTGCATCAGTTGGAAGCAGCAACCTCCATGGAACAAAATTGATCCAATATGGATTGGGAATTCAACAGAGTAGAACAATGACCAGGAACATTTGACTCGACTAATAGAAAATTCAACCCAAAATATGAAATTAATAATGATCAATGCAAAAGTAGATAAATGGCTTGGTGAAACGACAAAGGAAACCACACCTGGTTTGATAACTTTCAACGCACATACCATTAATTTACCTCTATCACAAAAATAGCTATATATTTCTATGCAGAGCCTTAATGTATTATTACCCGAGCGATCAGCTTGGTTTTGTTACTATAGGATGAGGGTGGATTTGGCCCTCCAGTCATATTGTGACACGTGGCATCTCAGAATAATTGGGTGATACTCGAAATCACTTAGGCAACAACTTATTTTAGCTAAGATGATGACGACCTGACACAGGCGCCGAATTGGTAGCCTGGCACAGGCGTTGACTTGGCGACCTGGCACAGGTGCCGAATTGTCGATCTGGCAACTTGGCACAGGTGCCGACCTGGCGACTTGGCACAAGCGCCGATCTGGCGACCTGCGAGACATGCTTGCCGACAAATTCGGCATGCATATCACAACACTCCCACGATCCTTGGAAGTTGGCCCACGTGCCGAACGATCCAGAGGGTGGTCAACGTGCATGGCGATTGCCTCTGGGAATCTCATACCACTTAGGCGACCTCTTGGAAATCTTGGATACGGTGCGTGAAGCCCACGCTAAACAATGCTTATATAAAGACACCAATCCCAGTGACAAAGTTAAGTACTTTGTTTGAGCATCTACCCTTCCCTTACTTTCTCTTGTTTGTTAGTATCTCCCAGTTCTATCAGAACCGTGAGATTTTCCATTGTTGTCGCCCTTTTTGCCTTGCTTGGATTTTCTTTCTTGCATGAATCCAGTTCTACCACCATCAAGGTAATACTTCAAACTTCAAAAGAAAGAGAAGGAGAGAAAGATGCTGTAATTATTAAGGAGATTACGATTTTTTTTTTTTTTTTGAAGCCATGGGCTGCCTTTGCCACTTCAATGACTCATCTTTTATGATTTACTTATTTTATATATAAAAGAGAAAGTAATGTCATTTCCATTCAGCCACTTGATCAAGGTGCCAGTAGATGGCTGAATTGAAGACTAATTGCTTTGCCTCTCTTATTGAATTGGTTTTAGAGTAGCATAATTGTCAAAACATTTATGATTTTTGTTTGAGTCCTACAATTTGATTCCGGAATATGATGAATTATATGCTATATCATGCATTTTGAATTAATTTAATCAATAATTAATTCTGTAATCTCTTCATTTCTTTGATTGTGTTTTATGTTTTGTCAAGGGAGAATTGTTTTAAATCCCTTAATTACCAGAAAACGAAAACGATTCATTTAATACTTTTCAAAAACAATATCAGAATTTATTTTCCTTCATATGTCGGTTAAAGAGCTATTATATTTTATATTATTTGATCATATTTAAGTGCAACATGATGGTGTTATCTTAGTCGTCGTCGTCTTCTTCTTCTTCTGTTGTCCAAGTTATAAATTCTAGGGTTTCAGGTACACATGTTGTAGATACCAATTAAAAATTGGCTGGGTAAAATCATTTATCCAAATATAGATTTTTAGTAATATATATTTATTTATTTTTGATAAATTGTTAAAAAATAGAGAAGAAATCTTATGATTTACAATACAACTTGGTGCGGGTTAGCTTGGCCCAACTCACCGCGAGCTGGGAGGCCCAGCCCACTAGCATCTGACAGCGTCAACCACAGTAGGAGGGAGCCCTACTGCCTCTATACGGAGTCAACCACATGACCGTCAGACATACCCACCAGGGCCTACAGCTTGACCTCGTACATCTCTCATCCGGGGCGTTCATCTTCACCTACCTCCAGCACGCTTAATTATAAATAAGAGATAATTGCCCCTTAAAGGGAACCTGGAACAAAAAATTCCAACACCACTCACTCATTTACTCCCTGCACCTATCTTGTCTCCTTAGCATTTATTTAGGGAGATCTGGTGCATCCGAGGACTATCTCCAAAGCCTCTCCTGCACCCTCTCCTACTTTACACCTCGTACTAACTTGAGCGTCGGAGCCTCTCCCTCGGGTGTCCACCCGAGGCCTCTGACATTCCCTATTTTGCAGTATCTCTGGTCACCAGGGACTTCACCTCGACCTACAGTCCTCGGCTACCATAGTCCTTGGAAGAAGTACGTCGCATTAGCTTGCAGTCCTCAGCTTCGGCCCACCTTTTCTGTGGCCTCAGGGTCCTCAGCCAGCACCCAAAACCTGAAGAGTGAGTTTACCTCATTTCTCCCGGCCAATCCGCGTGGCAACAATTGGTGCCATTTGTGGGAAGCCATTGCTATGACGACCCCCACTTAGGATAAAAAAAAATAATAATACTCTAAATCCAAATCCCCTTAAGCTCAAAAGCTATGGTGAGTAGAACCAGGAATAATCAGAACCTAGTCACCTATGAGCAATTTCAAGCTGTCCTCGATCGTTTGGACTGCCTCACCTAACGAATGGAAGAAGTTTGCCCCCAAGGAGGAGGTCCCTCTCAAGACGACCAACCCGCTCGGGTGTTAGAGGATCAGGGTAGACACGAGAATGTCGTGCCACCGACCCTCGGCCATGGTAATCCACTGGCCGAACTGTCAGAATTGGGCAACACCTACCTCTCGGATTCACCACGAAGGAACATCTCTCCTCCTAGCTGAAGGGAGAGCATGCCCGCTCAATAGGAAGATCGTCATCAATCTTTGGAGCAACATCACTACCATGGTAGGAAAGTCCCCCAGGATGATGGCGGGCACCTCGACCGCCTTGGAGTTCACTCCCGAGAAGAGAGCCGACGCCACCCCACTCCACCTCCCATCTCAGATCTCAAGGACGTTATGAATAACCGTTGTGCTCGCAGAGGAGCGGGCGATCCTGTCTCGAAGTCTTCGGGAGTCTGAGCCGACACCCACCGGGTCCACGAAGATAGAAGCGGGGCCCCATGCCTGTGCTGACCTAGGGCTTGCCGAGTTGCGAGCCGAGATTAGGGCCGTTAATGACGAGCTTAGCAAGGTTAAGGAGAGTCGAGCTGGCGCCTCAACCAGTCATGACAACTCCGCTGGCCACATGGATGCAATCACCCTGGAAATCATCTTGGAGCCTCTTCCCCCACAGTTCAAGGCTCCTACACTAGAAACATACGACGGGAGCACCGACCCCGATGACCACCTAGAGGGTTTCAGGGCGCTCATGATACTATACGRCTATTTCGATGCCTTGACGAGCCAAACCTTCCAGGGCATCTTTAGGGGGGCCGCTCGCCACTGGTTCTCCAGCCTTCCTCCTCGATCAATCCGCTCGTGGGAGCAATTCACAACCTTGTTCCTCTCCCGCTTCATCAGCAGTAGACGATGCCAGAAGAGCATAGTCTCTCTGATGTCGCTCAAGCAGGAGCTGGGTGAAAGCCTGCAGTCTTATATCGACCGATTTAAGAGAGAAGACCTCAAAGTTCGAGACCTTGACCCTATGGTCTCCATTCACGCAGCCATTAACGGACTTTGCCCCGGTTCGGCCTTCAAGTGCTCAGTTGCCAAGACCCCGCCGAAGACTAAACTCGAATTCTTCAAGAAGGCCCAAAAATACATCGCGGCCGAAGAGGTTTCGGCCAGGGACGACCGAGAAAGGGTGGCCGAGTGCCATGACAGTCCCCCAAAGAAAAAGATGAAAGGTGGAGACCAGCGCCACCCCGGCAACCATGGCGACAAAGACAACAAGAAGCCATTGGCTCTGGCCTTGGCTTACAAGGACAACATGCCACTAAACTCCACCCGCACCAAATACTGATGCAGATCGGGGAAGAGAATTTTGTGAAGTGGCCAACGAAGTTGAAAAGAAACCCCAAGAGGGGGAACCCTATGAAGTACGACAAGTACCACCGTGGCACCAGGCATGACACCGAGGACTACTACGATCTAAAGAATGAAATAGAGTCCCTTATCCGCCGCGGGCACCTCAAGCAGTTCATCGGAGGAGAGGCTGGCGCCTCATCCTCCCAGCAACAGTAGTACCATCAGCAAGTGGTAGGCGTCATCGACGTCATCGCTGGGGGCATGGCYTCGGGTGGAGTCTCAGCCTTGGCTCGAAAAGCCTATGCCAGCCAACTTAACATCCAGGAGCCTGCCCCGAAGAAGCAGAAGTACCCGGACGCTCCGCAGAGGTTGAGCTGTCCACATGCCCTCGTCTTCACCGACGAGGACTTAGAGGGGGTTACAGTCCCCCACGATGATGCCCTTGTGGTCGTAGCCATCATCTCCAATTTTATGGTGAAGAAGATCTTGGTGGATAGTGGCTTGTCAGCCGATATCCTTTTTTACGACACCTATGAGAGAATGAAGCTCGCGCCAGAGCGACTCTAGCCTACCGATGCTCCCCTCGTCGGCTTCTTCGGCAACGTCATCAGGCCGAAAGGAAAAATTTCCCTACCCATCACAGTAGGGACAGCGCCACACCAGGTGACTTGGATGCATGAGTTCCGGGTGGTGAAGGTTGCCTCTCCCTACAACGCGATAATAGGAAGACCAACCCTTCATGCACTAAGGGCAACCCAATAAAGCTCCAACAACAGGTGAACTGTCAAATTCTTCTAATAAAAAATTCTAAATATCTTTAGGACAATGGATTCAAGGTGGTCATTTTTTTTTGAGGAAACTTCGAACTGCAGAGCTCATCCACCAGAACAAAGAGTCTAAAAAGAAAATGCAAGCAACAACAATTGAACAATCTAAAACAGCTCAACACTACAGTCAAGGGAAGGTACAATATATGGAGGAGAGAATACGAAAGTCCAAATTCTAACTCCACCTTGAAGCTTATGAGGGATCAGATCATAATTGTATGCATATAATGAAGTATATCTTCTCTTTCGTCTTTAATTATATGCATATAATGAAGTTTATGTTTCAATGTTTTGCAATAGGWTGTTCCCAATCTCTACATACCTGATTTATTTTGGCATTTGGTGGGTTTTGGACCGGAGTCTAGAATTCCATGTCTCAAATCTGGGTGTGAATCTCATAAGATCTGTAAATGATACATTTGATAAGGTCTAGGTCTGGTTATACATGGAGCTATCAATTTCCAATGCATAGTTAATGTGGTTAAGTGTGTGATTAGTTGGAGTTATCAAGGTATTTGTTTGATTTGTAATGAAAGAAATTATTATTATTTTAATAGATTTGTTGAATGAAAATTGTTGCTAACACTCTAATGCTCGACTCGCAGGAAATGGTGAAGACAACTATCATTACCAGTGGCTTGTATGGTTAATATGTCAATTGTATACCACTAGAAAATTTGGAAGTTTTTGATGTTCTTGTAGTGTTAATATGCCAATTGGATGTTGTATTTGAACAATTTGTTTTTGGATTTTTTAATGTAATTAATCTTTAAATTAATAGATGTTTTAAATTACATTTTTTATTTATCAAAGTTTTCATGTATCAGTTATAGGATTTCGTAGGTATATTAAGATGCTAAATCATTAGAAAACGGCAGGTATCAAAAAAGCTGAAATTAAGTAGGCATATAATTTTTTTTTTAAGAAAAGGTCTATTCTGTTAATCCATATCCGCCAGTTTAGCTATGAACAAGATGGGAAGTGATGTCACATAGGACCTAAGACGGCGATCAATGTCTGCCGACTTACCCATTAGTAAAACCAAAGGCGGCGGTCTAGACCGCCAACTTAATTAGACAAAACCGACGGTCCGAAAAAACCACCACCTTAAAGAACTTTGAACCGCATCGGTCTAGCTAGCTGCTTATATAATAATACTTAATTTAAGCCGTGTGTAGTGTACGTATTCCATCTTCAAACTCATGTATGTAATATATGTATCAATAAAGCACACATGTGATAAATATATGTAATTGGTTTAGTAATAATGGGTAGTTTGTATCTCTTCTGGGTGGTGCTCGGTGCTTGTACCATGCATGCATGCTGTTTAAGTATTAGAAGATTTGTGCTTTTCTATCTTGGAAAAATTCCCAAATGATGGGCGTCCAAGGTATTATTATGTTATGTTAGAGGAATGAATTCACTATCCTGCTTATAAAGGGTAAAGATATAACTACAGAGGAATGATGGGCGTATCGGGTCTAGCAAAGATATAACTACAGAGTAATTATATTAGTGAATTACATAAACCACTAATTATATTAGCAAAGGGGTAAAGATATAAGGAGGAYAGTGAATTACATTTGTAGTAATAAGGTGAATTACATTTGTAAAGCATGTATTATTATGTTATGTTAGAGAATTACATTCAATTAACAAACGGTTCACATTTTCTGGTCCGATAATTGGTTAAAAGATATACAAATCAACCCATTTGCTGGTCTACGTGTAGGGTTTCAACCCTGACCCAACTTGTAGTTAAATGACAAATCGGGTTAAACTCAAGTCAATGACCTATTGACTTGAGCAGTCGAACCATTGACCCATTGATCTGTTCAATAATTTTTGGCCATTTTTTTTTATTTTTTTAATCGGGAACCTTCTAGGCAATTGGTTTCGTTTTATTCTAATTTCGGTCCYTAGCCAAAAATCATTGAATCGGTCAATGACCCATTGACCTGGGAGGTCAAACTGTTGACCCGTTCAATGGTTTTTGGTCGCTTTTCTTTTTTTAATTTTTATTGTTAGAACGGGCCATCCGTTCGAACTAAAAAGTTGAACCGTTGACCCAAAAACCAGTGGTCAAAATGGTTCTATTTTCAAGTCGTATGAGTCACACACTTGAATGACATAACATGTATGGTACTCCTTAATGGTCCTCACACACTGAGTTTTTTGCCTATAATTTTTGTTGTTAGAATGGGTTGTCCATTTTTTTTATTCTTTTAATTGGGAACCGTCTAGGCAACCAGTTTTGCTTTACCCCAATCCCGATCCTTAGAAAAAAACCGTTGAATTAGTCAAAGACCCATTGACCTGAGTAGTCGAACCGTCAACCCGTTGAATCGTCTATTTGAATCGTTGACCCAAAAACTGATGGCCAGAACGGTTCCATTTTCGGGTCATATGAGTCACACGCTCGAATGACATAACATGTATGATACTGTTCAATGGACCTCACACACTCAATTTTTTGCCTGTAATTTTTGTTGTCAAAATGGGTTGTCTGTTTGAACTGGACGATCGAATCGTCGACCTGAAAACCGGTGGCTAGAACGGTTCTGTAAAATTTTGCTTATAATTTTTGTTGTTGTCAGAACGGGCCGTCCGTTTGAACCGAAGGGTCGAATCGTCAATCTAAAAGCCAGTGGCCAGAACGGTTCCGTTTTTGCGTCGTATGAGTCATACGCTTGAATGACATAGCACGTATGATAGTATTTAATGGACCTCACAAACTCAATTTTTTTTTTCCTATAAATTTTGTTGTCAAAACGGACTGTCCGTTCTAATCGGATGATCGAACCATCGACCCAAAAACCGGTGGCCAGAATGGTTCCGTAATTTTTTGCTTGCAATTTTTGTTGTCAGAACGGGCCATCCGTTCGAACTGGACAGTCAAGCTGTCAGTTGTCAGAATGTTATTAACAACATTTATCAATAATAGTAAGTAATTATACTAACTAATTAAATAATCATTAATGATAGTTTTAATAATATTATTTAGTTATTTTTAATATAACATTAATTATTAAATTTATGAATAGGATTTATTAACAATATTCATTAAATTAATAATTACCAAAATTAAATTAAATTAACAATATTTATCAATAATAGTCAGTAATTATAATATTTTATTAAATAGTCAATAACAATACTTTTAATAACATTTTTAATTATTTTTAATATAACAACAATTACTAAGTTTATTAACAGAATTTATTAATAACAGTATTTATAATTTTAATTTAAAGTAAATATCTAATTATTAACAATATTTATAATAACAGTAATTATTAATTATATATTTATTAAATTACTGTAATAATCAGTAATTATTGTTATCTTATATATATATTAATAGGAAATGGGTTCTCCCACGTGGGATCTACTGGCAGAGAGCACCCATTTCCTATAATAGATATTTATAAGATAAGACATGGATTTAACCATCCGGTTCAAAAAATTCAACAGTCTGGATCAATTCCGGTTTGAAAAGAATTTTGATTAGGTTATCCTCTAGTTTGGGTCGCTAGGTAGGGGACCCTATCTTATTCTTTTCGAGTTGAACTCACAGGTTGGTTCAACTTTTTGCCGGATCTAATTCTTATAAAAGATTACCAATAATAGATATCTGGATTTGCTCTTCACACTCACACTCACGCCCACGTCACAACACATCCAGCCGTGCATTGAGAACATCTCCCCGGAAATGGCTGAATGACAACATAACAAATCCAATATCACTCCTGAGTCCTGATTGATTGGATTACATAGTTCATTGATAACTGTTTAGCAGGCTGTGAAATCATTAATAAGGATGTAAGTCAGTCATAAAATAGTAAAATACATGTATATTTTATCATTGACGTGAATCATTGCCATTGATTCTACTAGTACTACATGGGCTGGGCTTTAAGTTTAACTTGACTTTGGCCAAAATTTAAATGGACTATATTACACAGGTAATTTGTTTCGTTATCACATCAATTAATTTTATGGCAGACGGGCATTTGCTTAATTATCAACATTCTACAGGCCCACCATGTAATGTATTTTCCTGCACGCACTACCACATATTTCCACTTTTCAATCGTCGTCGCAGGAGGCAGGGCTGGGGTCAATGGATAGAACCGTAGAAGACAAGTTGCATGTATCCAAATTTGAGCCCTTTGAGGTCCGGCAACCAACCAGTCTGCTTTCAGTCCCTAAATTTTGATTTTGAGGAAAACAGATTAAGTATTTTATGAAACAACTGAAATCTTGAGTTCAAAAACTTTTTTTTTTTTCCTCAACTATAAATAGGACTAGTAGGCACTTTGTTGATCAATGGAACTCAGAAACAACGTTAAAGTAGTTTTTTTTTTTTTGTTTTTGTTTTTGTTTTTGAGTTAGCAGCATCTAATCTTCCTTGACCTTCTCTTGTTTTGTTGTCCTATTTCCATCAGAATCATGAGATTTACCATTGTTGTCACCTTTTTCGCCTTGTTTGCATTTTCTTTCTTGCATGGATCCAGTTCTACCACCACCAAGGTAATATTCATTCTTCTAACCTGATGCTATAGCTAACTGAAATTTATTATTAAGGGGGTTGCGAACTCCTTAATGGTTGATACTTTATGATTTATTTATGTTATATACTACGACAAGATAAAGCAATGTCATCCAGTTCAGCCAAGATGCCATTCGATTACAATTGAGATGGTTGAATCGAATGACTTGTTACTTTTTGAATAAGTGAATTCATAATTCTCAAAATTTTTGTCCGAGTCTTACAATTTGCTTAATTAATTCTCTAATCTTGATAATTATATGATCCATACATTTTGAATTAATTTAATCAATAATTAATTCTGTACCATTTTCGGTATTTTTTTTTTTTGCTTTTTGCTTATTTGAAGTTTTGTTAAGGGAGAATTGTTTTAGATCCCTTTCCAAAAAGTTATTCATTTAAAACTTTTCAAAAAACATATCTGAATTTATTTTCCATCATATATGGGTTAAAGAGMCATTATGTGAACCAAATGAGGCCTTAGATTTTTAATAATATCTATTTTATTTTTTGATAAATTATTAAAAAAGTAAAAAACAATCTTAAGATTTTCAATACAATTCATGATTTTATTCAATTCGATTTTCATTGTTAGTTATAAAATGATTACAAATTTTAGAAGAATGGTGAGCTCCTTTATGTTTGAAGCTGAAATTGGGTTAATTACTAGATCGATCCTTGAATATCATATTATTAAATTACTTTTTTCTAAAAAATGAAGTGATAAGCCATTCACTTCAGTTACTAAAGAAAATGGATGCAGCACTACATAGTTTACATGGGAGACCACTCATACCCGGACTCAGATTCTGTGATCAGTGCTAATCATCAGATGCTTGCTTCAGTTGTTGGCAGGTAAGTTACCAAGATATAAATGTAATTCCCAGTTGTCCACATCACATCAGCTGCAACCATCCTAACAGGAAACAATTGCAACCGTGCATGCGCACCCAGTAACATACAACAGACATTCTAGTGGAAAAATAAAAGCTAAGTTTGTAATTAAAGAGTACAAATACGAATATGTACTAAATACAAGGTTTTCCTTCCAAACTAAGCCTAAAGCATTGATTGAGTTTTCATGGATTGACTTAAACCTTAACACACGTTGGATTTTAAAATTAACTTAAATATACCTTGTGGACTTACATTATTGGGGGTCACAAAAATATCTTGCAACGGTGGTCGCAGCAGATGTTATCTCAAAGTAAACTGGGATTGTGTCCATATGTTTCACTGTTGGGTTGTGCAACAGTTCAATAGATTTAGCTAGGGTACCTACTGATTAGAAGTCCTAAATTTATCACCGATTTTTATTTTCCTTCTTTTGAAGCATTGATGGAGCACAACAGGCAGTAGTTCACCATTATACCAAGAGCTTCAGAGGGTTCTCTGCCATGCTCACGGAAGAACAAGCAGAGAAACTTTCTGGTAAGATTTACATGAGCTGAGTTGGGTATGTTTGGTATTAATTATTATTGTTTTTACTAGAAATGTTTGGAGTTTAGAAATAGAGACTTGTGAAAAATTATTATATCTTATCACATCAGATAACCACGTCCACTAGACACAATGACATAACCTAAGATTGTAAAGCACATTAATTATTCTCTAATTACTGATCCATGCATAACGGATGGTGCAGAGAGTGAATCGGTTGTTTCGGTTTTCGAGAGCCACACAATTCATCTTCACACCACACATTCTTGGGAGTTCTTGAGAGTTGATTCTATTAACCAATATAATCAATTGCCGATTGACGTGAAGTCGGATATGATCATTGGTGTCATTGACACTGGTAAAGTAGTAAAGGCTCTCTCTCTCTCTCTCTCACTATATATATATATATATGTTCATTTATGCTTATTTCTTTTGACTTGGCTAACAGTTATGCTGCTGTTTTTGTCTGTATATGTAATGTAATCCATTGGTAAAGGAATTTGGAAGGTATGTAGAGATATGATTTAATTATATATTAATAAAACTTTAAAACAGTGAAGGGAGATCACATCTTGCGCCACACACTCCCCAAATTGTCAGTGAGAGATGTTCTCAATATACAGTTAGAATATACTGAGGGGTGCAGATGTAAATTCCAGTAAAGCCATTTAGTCATTTAATTATTTCCTTAATCCTAATTTTGAAAATCATGGGATATATTTTAATTAATTAATCCTTTTTCTTTTAATTGAATCTAAAAAGAAGAGATAACCTGCCCCCAAACTCATAACCCCTCATCCTATCCACAAGAACCTCATCCACACCTAGCCACGGGATATTATAGCCATACGTCAGTCTCCCGATGAGTGGTAACAACAAACAAGTATGGAAAATGTTCCCGTTGTGCAGCTATAGTGTCTTATGGCTGGTCATGGATATATAGGAGATCCGACCACCTATGCTACGACCAGCTGGTGAAGGTTTACTTCAACCCAACCTAGCCCTGCCCAATTGGGACCCTACCATGAAGCTAGCCATGCACGCATCCCAACTTAATGCATCTTTATTTTGCTTACAGGAAACCAATTGCGAAAATCTCTCGTACAGTAACAGTTCTGAAAACAAGGCCAGCACCAGTGGTAGCTTCGTTTTCTTCGAAGGGACCAAATAAAATAGCACCTAGCATAATTAAAGTAAGTTTGCTTTCAAGTCAATGGCACATTTTTTGTTAAAAGTGCATTAACGCTGTAATTTGCACCTCATACCGTAAACAGGGATGTAACTGCTGCATCGGTTTAAGCAGTAAAACCCACATTAACCCAGCGTAAGTGAGTTAGGGTGGAGTCAACCTTGATAGGGTTTTAGGGCTGCCGAGGTCCATCTGCATTCTGTATGGGCTCAGGCGGGCTGGGCATGGGAAGAAAAACGAGGTTACTTGTGTTAGGTTAGGGTTACATATGGTTGGATTGGTCTCACTCTCAGGTTGAGGGTAGGGTTAGGGTTGACCCTTACCTCGGGTTGGGCCCTGGTTCATCTCAACCAGACACAACTAAGCCCAAGTTGCACCCCTAGGCCTTGTTTATAATAACTACTTCATAGGTTGTATAGCCAACGAAAGAAAAAATGCAAATTCATCGGGGAGGGTTTTTTGTTTATTCGTAATGCAGTGGCTATTTTGCCTCCCTTCGTTTTGAGACAAGTATCCACTTTCAGAAACAAAGGAGGGTTTATCTTCGGAAATCATTTCCACGAAAAAAGTATCTGCAAAGAACAATAATCACATTGATGCTATTGATCAATTGGAAAAATGCTGATCGTTAGTTATCTAAACACTATAATTAATGTCACTTTATTAATTATTTTGTAATTTTAATTGAATTTGTTCTCTTAGAATCAAAATATATCTGCAAAATATTTTGTAATGTTGCAGCCAGATATTACAGCACCAGGAGTAAATATATTGGCAGCTTGGTCTCCTGTGGCAACTGCTGAAACAGCAGGACGACCGGTTGACTACAATATAATCTCAGGGACCTCCATGGCCTGCCCACATGTCTCAGCCATTGCTGCTATCATCAAATCTGTCCACCCGTCATGGAGTCCAGCAGCCATACAATCCGCAATCATGACAACAGGTAATAAACCCCTTTTCATAAGAGTACATATATACTATACTACATTGGCAGTATAGTTTTGGTGGTTAATTTTGCTAATGTTTTAATTAATTCTTCTGTTGGGGTTTATTATAATTAATCTGGAGAAAATTAAATATGAAAGTTTTTAGAGGTTGGCAGTTTTCTACAATCCTTAGTGAGGTATAAATAGTCATTTAATTCAGCTAGTGTTTGAGCTTAGCTTATATTATTAATCCCAAGCCTGGATAAAGGAAGTGAGTTGGGTTAGGTCAGCACAACACAACTCAAAAGTGATACATTCAGCTAGTGTTTTGCCAAACTCTTTTGAATATACAACATAACTTAAAAGTGATACATCACAACATTGCTCAGTTGCGTACCTACAAAAAAAATTTCTCTTTTGTCATTAGAAATATGTAAAAATTCATCATTGAAGGAGTAAAGAGGCCAATAAAAGACATGAATTTGATTTGATTTCTTAAATAAAGTAATATTAATAAGAAATGGTACAGAGTTAATTTACACAGTTAAAGGAACGGTTGATATTCTAAATGAAAGTAGAAAAACATAAAAACATGATATTTTTAAATTATGGTGCATTGGAGAAGTAAATAATAGAAATAGAGTAGCAATAATAGTACACAAAGATTTGAAAAATGAAATTGTAAATGTTAAAAGAATCAGGAATAGAATAATCTTATTTAAATATATTTTAATTAAAAATTATTAATATAATTAGTGCTTACACATTACAAGTGGATTTAGAAGAAAGCATTAAAAGATGATATTAAGAAACATATACGGATTAGTTTAAGAAATTCTATCTGAAAAAGGATATTTTTATAAGGGGTTTGACTATGATGCTGGAAAGACATGAATCAGAAAAACTTAGAACCAATCAATCGGCATCATAAAAATAGTAACTAATCAAGTGGGTTTTCATCAAATGCATCAGAGGGGTTGTGATTGGTCAAAACCTTTCTAATATCATGTCTTTCTCGTTTCATAGATTTTCCCTTTTATAAGAGGACATCTAAATAGGTATGTGGAGAAAAGTAGTACAGGAAATGACATGATGTATAAAGAATTTAGGTTTTGGGAGAAGAATGGTAGAAGAGATACAATTTCCTGAGAAACAGGAGATTATATATGTATATTGAACACAAAGGGTACAATTAGGATTATAAACCGAGATATAACTCGATCAATGTGAGGGATTGAAGAGGACATAAGCTATAGATCAATTAGAGCATGATAGAAAAGATGGGAGGATGTATCTAGAGCATTACATTATGTGAGAATACCATCTAGGCTAGAAAAAAAATTATAAAATGGTCATAAGGTGAACAATGTTGTAAAAGTAAAGTGAGATATGACCAATAAAATAGCATCTGAAAAAAAAATGACTAGTAGAAATACGAATGTTGAGATGCATTTGTAGGAAAGCTAGAAGGGATAAGGTTAGAAATATACTTATGTACATCTTTGGCACATATTTGAAGAAGTGATTTGCCACAAGTTGAAGGGGCTAGAAGAACTAGGGGTAGACCGAAAAAATATCAGTTGAAGTAATGAAAGATGATTTTAGAGGTATTTGGTTTGCATGTTGAATTTGGTGGGAAGGGAAAGGATAAGATGGGGGCACAATGACAGAGGAAAATCAAACACAAAAATTTAATATTTTATTATTTCGTTGCAAATGGGAAAACAGTGACCGAATTCAATCCTCACAACACTTACAACCATGCATTTGGAATATCCCCTACTTTTTTTTTTCATTCATGAGGAGATATTCCCAATGCATAGATGCAATTAGGATTTGAGAAAACAGTGGAACACCAGCCCCAATAATAAAGCAAGTATTTTTCTGTATTAGACAAGTATCAGACAATCTTCCCCTCCTTGCACCTTTTCACAGGGAAATGGTATGAACGCACTTTCCAAAAATTGAGAAATACATTAATCTTGGCCTTTTGTCATTCCATTTGATTTTTTTATTTTTCTCTTCCCTTCCCTGCTTCCCACAAACCAAATGCAGCCTTTAAAGATCATGATTTTACAATGAATAAGGCACAAAGCAAAATGGAATGATAGAATAAGATTCATGCATGTAGCCAATACCATATGTACAGATGTACTACCTTCAGTTGTGTGTAGTACATTTCAGTTTATTTAAAAAAAAAAAAAAGATAATAATGATATATCGTTTTACATTTTCAAACTTGTAACGCTGTTAATTGAGATGATATTCTCACTAAGCAATATAACTATATTAAAACAAACGGTTCCTATTCTGCTAATATTTATATTATTATTATTAATATTGTTTAAATACTTATAATTAATGTTTGTTTGGTTTTGGAGAAATTATTTTTAATATCAATTATTACCCGGCCGGCCTGTGCCGATTGAGGCAATTACTTGATCATTTTTATATGACAAAGTTTTCTATTGCTTTGATTGATTCATACAGCTACAGTACTTGACAATACCCAGAGACCCATATTAAGCAGCTTAGAGGAATCAGCGTCGACGCCTTTTGACTATGGATCTGGACACGTAAATCCAGTTGCAGCACTAGATCCTGGGCTGGTTTACGATTTTAATTTCAATGACGCTTATGATTTTATCTGTAATGAGAAGAATATCACACTCAGAGACGCGCTGAGATTTACAGGGAAGTACGTTCCTTGTAAAAACCCACCGGTCCCAATCTACAATCTGAATTATCCTTCAATTGGTGTGACAGACATGAGTGGAAGCCTCTCGGTTGATCGCACAGTCACTTACTACGGTGAAGGTCCAACTGTTTATGTTGCATCTGTAATGCAACCACCTGGAGTAAACGTTATGGTCCGTCCTAATCAGCTCAAATTCAGCAAAGCCGGTGATAAGAAGTCTTTTATGATAGATTTCAAGCCCTACAAGGATAGTAATGGCAGATTTGTGTCTGGGGAGTTGATATGGAGCAACTTAAACGGAGTCCATAGGGTTAGGAGTCCCATTGTACTTCATGTGCTCTCAGTCTAGCTACCTATAGCAGTATAGCCTATAACTAGCTGCTTATATACTACTTAATTTAAGCTATGTGTGTAGTGTACGTATTCTATCTTCAAAGTTCAAACTCATGTATGTTATATATGTATCAATAAACTCATGTATGTTATATATGTACGTATTCTGGGTGGTGCTTTCTGCCTGTACGTACCATGCATGCATGCTGTTTAAGTATCAGAAGAGTTGTGCTTTTCTGTCTTGGAAAAATTACCATCCCTTATTGTGAGGATTCTTAATTTGTTAATTCCAATCAAGTTTACCTCGATTCTCCCGGCCAATCTGCGCGGCAACAATTGGTGCCCTTTGTGGGAAGCCATTGCTATGACGACCCCCACTTAGGATAAAAAAAAAATAATACTCTAAATAAATAAATATATATATTTATTTTATTTTTTGATAAATTGTTAAAAAATAGAGAAGAAATCTTATGATTTACAATACAACTTGGTGCGGGTTAGCTTGGCCCAACTCACCGCGAGCTGGGAGGCCCAGCCCACTAGCATCTGACAGTGTCAACCACAGTAGGAGGGAGCCCTACTGCCTCTGTACGGAGCCAACCACATGACCATCGGACATACCCACCAGGGCCTACAGCTTGACCTCGTACATCTCTCATCCGGGGCGTTCATCTTCACCTACCTCTAGCACGCTTAAGTATAAATAAGAGATAATTGCCCCTTAAAGGGAACCTGGAACAAAAAATTCCAACACCACTCACTCATTTACTCCCTGCACCTATCTTGTCTCCTTAGCATTTATTTAGGGAGATCTGGTGCATCCGAGGACTATCTCCAAAGCCTCTCCTGCACCCTCTCCTATAGCAAAGATTCATTAATACAAATACTGTGCATTAATACTGTAATTTTGCACCTTTTTCATATTGTTAGATAACTATTCATGGGAGTTTGGGGAATAGGTGTGTATAAGAGATCCGAATTCCTTGTTGATAGGTTGAATTAAGGTGGGGTCAACCTTGATAGAGTTTTAGGGCTGAGGTCCATCTCCATTTTGTGTATAGGCTCAAGCGGGCTGGGCATGGGAAGAAAAACAAGGTTACTTGTGTTAGGTTAGGATTACATATGGTTGAATTTAGCCTCAGGCTTAGGGTGAGGGTTGGGTTGGAGTTGACCATCATTACCTCGGGTTGGGCTCTGGTTCATCTCAACCGTAGACAACTAAGCCCAAGTTGCACCCCTAGGCCTTTCCGCCTTTGTTTATATTAACTGCTTCATATGCTGTATAGCCAAAGAAAAAAAAAATGCAAATTCATGAAAAATAGGTCAGAGAGATTTTTTTTGTTTATTCGTAATGCAGTGGCTATTTTGCCTCCCTTCATTGTGAGATAAGTATTCACTTTCAGAAACAAAGGAGGGTTTATCTTTGGAAATTATTTCCCTGAAAAGTATTTGCAACGAACAATACCACATTAGTGCTATTGATCAATTGGAAAAATGTTGATTGCTAGTAATCTAAACTCTACAATGTCATTTTATTAATTATTTTGTAATTTTAATTGAATTTGTTAGATCATTTAAAATCGATCACGATATCTGCAAAATATTTTGTAATGTTTCAGCCAGATATTACAGCCAGGAGTAAAAATATGTTGACAGCATGGTCTCCTGTGGCAACTCGTGGAACAGCTGGGCGATCTATTGACTACAATATAATGTCCGGGACGAAATGGGATTCAATCAGTACAAAGTCCATTCAAACAACTATGATAGTCTTGCATTGGGAATATCTCGTCATGAAATAAAACATAAAAGTACGGAGATGTTCCCGATGCAAGGCTGTAAAGACTGTTCGAATAGTGTTTGAACCGGCCTTGCAGTGACTCATCCTAGACCTCCATGGCTTGCCCACATGTCTCAGCCATTGCTGCTATCATCAAATCTGTCCATCCTTCATGGAGTCCAGCAGCAATACAATCAGCAATCATGACATCAGGTAATAAACCTTTTCTTATATATCAAAAGATTTTAAATCTCAATTAAGATTAATTTGTTTAAGCCTTGATGGAGGAAGATTTGACCCGACCCCTTGGCCCTATGACACGTGGAAGCAACCAAGAGTGACCTGGCAGAAGCGCCAGCTCGGCACGACAGCAGGCCCTCCAACCCGAGCTTTGAGTAAAAAGTCCCGAGCTCCCCCAAAGGGGGAACCTACAACCCGAGCTCCGAGCTCTCCCATCGAGGTCCTGAGTCTAACAAAAAGCACAAAAGGCAAAGACCTGAACTGCCCACCCAGAGGTAGTTCGGGCCACACTTCTACCCGAGCTCAAGACTTCACTTCACACACCACTTCGGCTCCAAGTGTCCTGGCTGAACAACCGTACCTGACGACCAGGAGACCCGTATACGGAGGTGGCGCACTTGATTGATTAAAGGTCCGATACATGATAGCCGTCATCCAATGGCCACCTGCCACCGCCATCTCAGACGGGCAGAGGCGGCCCTGGCAGCTGGCAGTGGAGGTTATGACACCCGAACTGGTGATTGGTAGAGGAAATGACACTCGACCTGGTAGAGGAGGTGACCTGATCTGGCAGAGGTAATGATGCCCGAATTGGCAGAGGCATGGAAGTAAGTGTACAGGGTGAATATAAAAGGCCCCCATCTCAGAAAGAAGAGGGTATGTGATTCTTGCGCTTTCTGGTGTTAGAATTCCTCATTTCCCTTGCCTTTTGAAGAGCACTAACTTGAACTTCAGAGTGTTCTAACCGGGTTCCTCCCCGTAAGTCTCCATTTTCTTCCTTGTTTCAGGCACCTCCAATCTCGTCAGAAGCGAGGTAATCGGCAGCTAGGACCGACCGGATTGCGCACTATCAAGCCTCATACTACATTGGCTGCATAATTTAGGGTTTAATCTATTAGGCTGCATTTGGTTTAAAGGAAAAAGTAGGTAAAAGAAGGGAAAGATAAAAAACCTTTGCAACCCTTGTATAGGTTTCCCTTCCTTTCCCTTTAAATCAAATGTAGCTAGCTTAGTGTTTATTATAATTAATTTGGAGTAAAATGTGCAAAATTTCACAGGTTGGTTACAATCCTTAAAACTTAAAATTTCATATGTTAGTGCATTAAGAAATAATTAGGTTTGGTTCGTTGGTTTTTCAGTTTTTTTAATTTTTATAAAATTTATTATAAATATATAATAAAAAAGATAAATATAGATATAAAATATTATATTTTAAATAATAAACAATATATCATATATTATAAATATATATAATTATATAAAATGAAAATACATATTTATTAATTTATAATATTTAAAAATATAAAAGTATATAATATACATATCGGTCGATTCGATTAACTGTCAGTTTTCTATATTGATTAACCAAAACCGAACTGATCGGTTCAATTAACCAATTTTTCAGATATTTTGTTCACACCTAGGAACCACAGCAAAGCCAGTGTTAAAGTCCTCCCAAATGCGCACATAAAAGCTTTGATTTCATGGTCGTAAAGTGGTTTTGCAGAAAAAGTGGAGGGTGTTTTTTGCCGCATCAAATTGCTATAAAAAAGTTAACCACTCACCCTGGTCAACACGGTGAAGTAACGGGGTTTCAATTTTCCCATTTTGTATTTATTATTAGAAAAATATCATTTCATTGATCTGTGATCTGCTACAAAGAGAACGTGTACAATGGCCCACGGAATCCAATCAGGAGTAAAGAATAATCAAAAGTAGGGTCAGTTTGTAGTTTATTTGTATTTTTCTGTATTATATAATTTTCTCTTGATGTCTTTTTTTTCTAAGGCTCAGTTTGGAAAGATTATATATATATATATATATATATATATAT